AAATCAGTACATTTATATCATTTACCAAATTTAGGGGAAGTTTTGGCCATTATATATTCAAATATTTTGTGTGTCCAAATCTTTCCTCATTTTGGGACTTCAGCTACACCTAAGCAAGACATTTTGTTGTTGTCTCACAGGTCACTGAGGTTCTGTTAATGCCTTCTTGATCATTTTTTTTCTCAATTGTTTAGATAATTTCTACTGATCTATTTCAAATTCAATAACTCCGAGTCATTTGCATTCTGCTAGTAAACTTACCTAGTGAATTTAAAATTTCAGACATTATCTCTTTCAGTTCTAGAAATTTTATTCTCATTTTTCTTTGTAGTTTCTATTTCTTTACTGAGTCAAAAAGACACTTTACATTCATTATAAACTCTTTATTTTATTAAGGATAATTATAATAATTACATCAATATCTGCATCTGCTCATTCTGATTTGTTTTCTTGAAATGGGGTCATATTTTCCTAATTTTTTGAATGTCAAGTAAATTTTTCTTGTATCCTGGAAATCATGAATGATAAGTTGTGGAGATTCTTGATTCTGTTATATTTCTCTGAAGAGTGTTAATGTTTTTGTTTTATCAAGTGATTAGCATGGTTGAACTCAAACTTCAAACTCTGTCTCTGGAGCAACAGCAAAAATGAAAGCTTTTATTTTGGTCTTTAGTTGAAGGCTTAGGAGTCTGTGCCATACATGCATGAGAGCCAGAGATTTGGGCAGAGTTTATTCATATAGTTTGGGTTGCCTTCTCTTTGAGTCTCAATTTTCTGGGATTCTCCCCTCACTTTCCAGTGGCTGTAGTTGCCCTGAACTCAGTCCTGTGGTTTTTCATCTCAAGAAGACTGCATGTTTTCTATCAAATTATTCCCCTTTGCCACACCAACTTCAGAATGTCGTCAGACTTAAAGCCATGAAAATGTGATCTAAACTCCTACCTATCACTTTTTTTCCAAGTTTCAACTCCTTTCCATAATCTGCTTTTGTTCACTCTCTAGTTTCTTTAGGTCATTGTGTGTGTGTGTGTGTGTGTGTGTGTGTGCGTGTGTGTGCGAGTGTGTGTGTGTGTTGTCCAGAGTTTATGATTTTATCTGTGGGAAGGTCAGGCTCAATAGGAATTTAACAAAATAAAATTAATTCATGAATATATCAAAATTATTTAGAAAAACATAAAACTTACTCTTAAACTCACAATCATGAAGGAACCACTGTCCACATAATGATGGTAGTATTTTACATTTTCCAACATATGTATTTGCATGTATAAACATTATATATATACACCTGAAGCTAATGTTGAATGTCATCTGTAACTGAAAAATAAAAAAATTTTAACTGATACATATTTTTTAAAAATTAAGATCTTAAAGTACATATTTTGTAAACCAATGTTTTTTATTTAATTATTATTTCAGGTTTTATAGATTGGTTTGCTCCATGCCCTTTTTCTAATGTCCGTGTCCTTTTACTTTTCCTTCTTTTACCATAAAGGTTAAATAGCTAAATATTCTACGTTTCTGAGACTCTCTTAAAACTAGTGATAGTCATGGTACGCATTTTTGGTCAATAACATGTGAGAAAAAGAGCCTGCTATAAGGAGACTTAGCAGACAAATGTTGCTTTTTTCATTATTAGATCACTCCATCAATGCCTAGAGGTGCATCAGTCTAATACATTCCTAAGAATAATATAGGATCAGCATCTCCTTAAATATAATTTGAAAGTATGACTTTTAACGTCATATTATTCAATCTTATGAGGGTATCATATTTTATTTAATCAATTAAGAATTTATGTTATATCCAACTTCTTTGTGTTCTGTGATAAATATTATAGTACACTGTGATTATGTGTTATAGAATAGATTCCTGGAAGTAGGGTTGCCAGACATTTTAAAGCTTTGATGTATACTATCAGACTTACATTTCAGTAATTGTGCAACCTTGACTACCAAAAGCAGTGCATAAAAGATCTTGTTTTCTACCTTTTTATTATTTTTAAATTTTATTATTTTGAAAATTTTATTATTTAAATTTTGATTTAATAAAAATTTTTCCTATTTTTCCCTCTTTATGTTGGAGGATCTCAGTATCTTTCTCTCTCTTCCTACACACTCAGATTCTAAAAGATGTATGCTGGGCATGCTCTTTGATCACATATATTATATGACTTGCTCCCTCACTCCTGAAGTTTTGTGTTACCATCTAAGTGAACCTGAGCTTGCTTCACCACCACCACCTCTGTACTTAAAACTGCATTCCTCTACACTTCCATTCCCCTTCCCTGCTTTGTTTTTTGCCATATCACGTGCCACCGTCTGTCATACTCTACATTTTAATTATTTATTTGCTTATTGCTTATCTTCCACTCTAGAATTAAGCTCTACGAGGACAAGGTTTTTTCTTCTTGTTTTTTTTGACTGCTATATTCCTAGGATTTTGAGTAGTACCCAGCATGTATTAAGTGATCAATATTGAATAAACTTAAAAACTGTAATAATTTACTCTATAGATATGTGCTTCTTCATCCTCTTTAAAGAAACATCTTGGAAACATTTAAAATGGATTTAAACAATAATTTAGATCAGTGTTTCTGTATGTTCCCCAGACAAGCAGCATCAGCATCCCCTGGGAGCTAATTAAAAATGCAAATTTTCAGGCCTCAGCACAGACCTACTAAACCAGAAACTCTGTGGGTAGGGCTCATTTCTAAAGTCCACATTTTAACAAGTCCTCTAAGCAATTCTGATGCATGCTAAAGTTAGTGAATCATTGATTTAGACTTACCTCAATATGTCAATTTCCTTTAATTATTCCCTTGCAATCATTTTAAAACATTGCCTTATTTATTGATGCTACCATTTAATTCGGTTTTTTTACTGCCCATGCTTTCAGCATTCATTTCTACTGTTCAGGCATACCTATATTCCTGTTTGGGGTGTGGCACTATTATGAGTTCTCCAAGAAGTATGGTAAATTTAATCTAGCCATAACCTGCAACTGTTTTATTCTTTTAAAAAGTGAAGATTTTCTACAGCTCTGCACAGTGATGTTCGTCCTGTGCATAGTGCCAGACTTCCACTTGGTAATAAATTACTGATGGAAATGGCTTTCACCTTGCATTTTTCCCCCAAGAATAAATAAGTTAATTGGTAATGGCTAATATCCATGGGTTGATCTTTCAACATATGTGCGTGCATGTGCGCGCGCGCGCACACACACACACACATGATATCCATAGGTTGGTCTTTCAACATATGTGCGCGCGTGCACACGCACACACACACACACACACACACACACACACACACACACACTCCATTCTCAATATTTATACCTTTTAATTCTCAGAAAAGAGGAGGTCAGGAAGGCAGGCACTTGAATGGGAAATATTTGCAAAGATGGCATTTAATCACATATTTGTTGATAGCCCATTATGCCAGACTAGTATCCAGGTAAAATATTTAGTATTGACCGTGATGAGATAAGTCTTGCTTACTGATTCATATGTTTATTCTGAGGAACAAATAAGGTAATCCAGTGAATGTACTGTGAAAAATGTAAAAGGTGACATACATGCCAAATATTACCTTATATTACAAAACCATTTTTGTCCTAATATCACTGTTTTTAGTGTAACAAGTAAATTTTAAAACAGTTCAGCTGTACTTTTTGTCTATGACTCATGAGAAAAAAAATAAAACCTGGGTATGCAGTGGAAAACAACTTTCCTCTACAAACCCATATTGACTCATAGTATCTTCTGGAATGCATGCTTAAGAATAATTCTGAGGCCAAGTCTAGATTCACTCAGAGTGCAGTGATTCAGTAACAATGTCTGCTCTTGGGCAAGAACAGAGAATTGTGCCATTTATTGCAATACATTTGAAATCCCAGATTGAGGTGTTTGTGTTTAAGTGCTTTGAATATGAGGAAAAAAGTGGAATGATTGTTCAGAAAATCTCTCTCATTCACAAGCAACAATTCATCTTCAGTCTTTTTTAAAAAATGGCAAATAGAAGAAATATAGTGCCAAGTTATAGTTGTAATTTATTACTTTAATAAAAGAACATGTTTAATAGGAAAAGTATCCATGTATTCAATATCAAGTTTAATACCATATCCTCAGAGTCATCATCATTCATGAATAGGCACAGAAACGTTTATTCTGTCAAACAACATCATGGAGTGGGCTCAGTGGAAATTTTAATTAGTGTTTATTTATGCATATTAAAAGGGTTTTAATTGTGAAAGACATATACTTGATTTAAAAAGTTCAAACAGTATATAATAAAGAGATCTTGTTCCCATCCTAGACCCCATTCCTGTACTCCTGTGCCCAATAGCAACCACTATTAAAGTTCTTCTGTATTTTTTCAAACCAAGGCTATTCACATACAAATATATGTATACATACATACAAACACACACACTTTTGTACACAAATGGGAATATACTATATGCACAGTTCAGCAAAATGCTTTTTTCACTTAATAATGTATCTTGAGCATCATTTTCTACTAGCACTTGTGTATCTTCAGCTGTTTTCATTTTTTCTTAATTTTGTGTTAATATTTTTAACATAAAGAACCTTTTAATAAAGTTTTCTGCTGACACAGAAGGAAACAAAGATATTAAGAAAGAACAAGGTGTATCAAAGATGAGGCTCATACCAATGGCCACACATTTATACATGGCAATAAACAGGCAAATTCAATTCTTATATGTGGTGCTTAAGTACACAACACTCAGGAATTGTCAGCATATGTAATTTGTTTCTCTAGTATTCTGATTATTCAAGTTATTAACAATTTGAAAAATTTTATATTTCAGTCTGAACACATAGAATCATTTACAATAATTATCTTTAAAGCAATGTTTTTAAATAAAAGGTTTAGTATCAAATTTAAACTATCTACTGCTTCTATGTGAAGATTCATTTTCAAATTCTCTCATATATAATGAGGTGTGTCTTCTTGTTAAAGGCTTTCTAACATCCTTTAAATTCAGAACACTTTTAAGGTTAAATAAAACCTTCAGTTCAGTTAACATTTCCCACATTTATTTCACTCATGAGATTTATCTCCTGAATGAGTTTTCACATGTTTAGTAAGGGATGCATTCTGTTTGAAGGCTTTCCCACATTCATTACATTCATAGGGTTTCTCTCCAGTGTGGGATCTCTGGTGTATGACAAGTTGTGACTTTGCATTGAAGGCTTTTCCACACTCATTACATTCATAAGGTTTCTCCCCAGTATGAGTTCTCTGATGTACAATGAGGTGTGACTTTTGGCTAAAGGCTTTCCCACATTCATTACATTCATAAGGTTTCTCCCCAGTATGAACTCTCTGATGTTGAGTAAGGCCTTCGATTTGTTTGAAGGCCTTCCCACACTGATTACATTCAAAGGGACTTTCACCTGTATGGGTTTTCATGTGGTAAGTAAGAGATGAGCTATGTCCAAAAGCTTTTCCACATTCATTACATTTATAGGGTTTCTCCTTAGTATGAGTTCTTTGATGTATAATGAGGTGTGATTTCTTGCTGAAAGCTTTCTCACATTCGTTGCATTCAAAGGGTTTCTCACCTGTATGAATTCTCATGTGTTTAGTAAGGGATGAGCTATACTTAAAGGCTCTTCCACATTCATTACATTCATATGGTATTTCACCTGTATGTGTTCTCACGTGTTCTGTAAGAGACGAATTATACCTAAAAGATTTACCACATTCCTTACATTCATAAGGCTTCTCTCCTGTATGAGATCTTACATGTTGAATAAGATTTGAGCTGTGTCTGAAGGTTTTCCCACATTCAGCACATTCATAGGGCTTTTCTCCAGTATGAACTCTTAGATGGTCAGTAAGGGCATGTTTATGACCATGGGCTTTGCCACACTGAATACATTCATATGGTTTTTCTCCAGTGTGAGTTCTCTGGTGTACAACGAGGTGTGACTTTTGACTAAAGGCTATCCCACATTCATTACATTCATATGGTTTCTCACCAGTATGAATTCTCTGATGGTCAATGAGTCCTTGTTTATGGCTAAGAACCTTTCCACATTGATTACATTCATACGGTTTCACTTTAGCTTGATTTGTGCCACACTTAGTAGATGAGCTATGGCAGAATGATTTCTCATGTTTTCCTCCAGTTTTAATTTTGTCCCATTTAGTATGGGATGGCTCATGACAAACTAGTTTCTCATGTTTCTTGCCAGTTTGAGATTTGTCACGCTTATTAGATGAGCTAAGATTGGATAATTTCTGTTTCTTTCCAGTTTGAATTTGGTTTTGAGTCTCTGTATCAGATAAGCTATGGCTGAATGATTTCCTGTGTTCTTCTTCAGCTACATCAGGTTTCTTTTTTGCATAGTTTCTTATATGACCAGGTAAGTCTAAATTCTGTTTTAAACTCTTTCTCTGTGAATTAAATTTGAGACGCTTTTTTGGGGAAGAAACTTGTGTTGTACTCAGATTTGCACCCTCCAATGAACCACATTCATGGCCTTTCTTCTTAGTCAGAGTTCTTTTCTTGACTGCAACTTCCCTAAGGAGTTGGTTTTGAGATTCCTGATGATTCTCTAGCTGGTCATCATCTTGCGGGACTTCTTCTAAAATATAATTCAATGAGACATTCTTGTGAATCTTTGCACTCTCGTATTTTAGAATATAAGTTATAAAGAAATGCTCTGTTGTGGGGCTGAATCTTTATTCAAGTCTAATATCCCAAAGTGAATGAAATATCAGGCACAAATGTCCCTAACTCTTAGACTTGAGGGGTAAAGTGCTGTAGTAAAAACAGGAAAAGAAAACTGACATTAGTGATTAGAAAAAGCTTTGACTGTTTATAAATATGACCTTGCAAACTGAGATAGAAGATGAAATATATACAAGGAGCAGTAAATAGGGAATAGATGAAGTTAAAAGAGCTTGTAATTATAGTTGACACTTTTGAGGTCTCTTAACTCAACCTGCCCAGCTTTAATAACTGCCAATCCATCCATAGTATTTCGCTCCTAGAGCCTGTACCATACTAATCCAACTCTCCATGGCACAGTTGTTGACATATCTGGTTCAAGCCAAGATGTCCAATAAGAATCTTCTTCCTAAAACTTTAGACTATAATTAATCTCCATTGGATTCTCAACTTTAAAAATCATATAAGACAAGTAATATAGAGCCATATATCCCTTGTGCAAACAGAAAATGCATCAGTACAAAGAATGAAGCATACATCTTCAGAAAAGCAGAGATGTAAGATCATATATCCTCAAAGAGACCATTTGCATAATCCCAAGACCTAATGGCTTTCTAAACCTGGTTTCAATCCCTAGTAAGGCCTAGCTAAAGTATCTGTCTTCAGTAACAAGAGATATACCCAGGATCTTATAATAAATTCCTCTACTTACCTAAGCTAGCCCAAGTAAATTTTTGTTATTGCACCCCAAAGATCATAAATAGAGAAAATAAGATAAGTCCACCAAGGAGTACTAAACACCTTACAGGTGACAGAGGGACTAAGCAGAAAAGGGAGTTCCACTGCTACCATCCATGATCAATATAATAATGACATTCCTGTATTAAAAGGAATCCTACAGTTTCTCAGAATTCCTTAATGGTTTTATTATATGATAATATCCATAGTAATGAGATTGGCAAACAAATTTTACACCATTTGGATTTACAATGTACACACACACTTGTCAATAGTTTGCTATGGGGCATATCTTTGTTCAAGTAACTCTACTGATTGCTAATTATAAATTTTAAGTTTATACCCAGTTCTAAGTGATTGATCATATTCTTTCCTCCACACATTATACAATTATATATTTTGAGATATCTTCACAACCCCTACTTCCCTTCTCTGAGACCACCACCCACACGAACAGATACAGGCAGCCATGTTTGTACTAAACAATCCAACTTCAGGTTGAAAACAATTGATTTGACAGTGGTAAACATGAGGTTTCAGCTAATCCAAGAATATCAAGAATATTCTTCTCCTAAGAACTTAGAATGGAACTTCAAAGACTTCTTTTAACTAGATATGGACACTTCACATGTTACTAAAAACTTGAGTTGGGACTACCATTTTAGGGTGGCTCTTTTCATCTATGTACATGGATCAGCTGAAAAAACTTCAAAAGACTCAAAGATGGAAGCAGATATAAGAGTCTATATGACTTCAGAAAGAAAGAGCTAAAAAGTGAATAGCCATCTTGGTGGTAAAGGAACATTACATGGATAAAGCGAAAACTGGGCTCAAACAGAAGAGAGTCATGGTATTGGAATACACACCCAGGAAATACTATTACTTTCATGGGAACTTTGAAAATATCCGTTCCCATGGAGATCAATTTTTATAAGTATAGATATCATGGTGATATAGATATGGTAAGGAAAAGTGAAGTTGCTAGCTGCCTTTTCATTCAGCAAATTTTAAGTGATGCAAGCATTCTGAGAAACATTATACACGAACTTTTATGCAGCAGTATCTTCCAATGCCCAAGGATGCTAGGGAGAATAGAGGCAAATTTCCTTCAGGGTAAAAAAGGGATCAAAACTCAAATCTTTCCCCTTGTGGTGTAACATTATAATGACCCGACCCCTTATTGGTTGTAGCTGGTCCCAACTGACACTACAACAGAAATGTACCATGAGTGAGGGGAGGAGAATCTGAACTAGTGAACTGGTGTAATAGGGTAGGGTTAAAGGGAAAGTTGGGTGTGGCAGGGCATGTGATTAAATCTATAAGCTTGTCCTGAACGTGAGACAGTAACTAAAACATGAATTTTAAGCTAAAATGACTATAACTTCAGAAACTGAAGTATGGAGCTCACTGGACCCAGCAACTCACCAAAGGGAATAGAACAGTCCTTCCTTGAAGAACCTCCAAGTACTGCGTAAGAACCTGAATCGAGACGAGAGTCACTGTAGCAATGACAAAGATGTATTAAATAACTCAAGATTATTTTTCAGTTGTAACAGCAAGTATCGGCAAGAAAAGTAAAGCCAGCCATAACTAGAGCTACTAACGAGTGGATCAAAAACTCCATGAAGTATCTTCATTTGTCATTTGAAAGACTGGTCCTTCCACTCTCAGGAAATTCATGGAGTCTTGAAAAATTCAGGGTCAGATGAAACCTAAAAAGATATTGTGCACATTGTGCTAATTTGGGGACTGTAGTGACATAAATAATAACTGGATATTTTAATGCTTGGTGGCAACACCTAAGATGAATTATTTTAAAAAGGGATTCAACAAATTACCTAAGAATTGGAACAATTTAGATATGCAGTAATAGGAATCCGATTTGGGTGATGTCGGTGATTAAGGAGAAAAACAGAAAACAGGCACCGA